AGTAGTACTAGTACAAGTGGTGATAGCGGTAGTAAGAAAGATGCTAGCAGTCGTCGTCGTAGTCGTCGTCGTAGTACCAGTAGTACCCGTCGTAGTAGGTAGCAGTAGTCGAATTAAACATGGGAGTAATAGGAGAAGTAGTAGTCGTCGTAGCAGTAGTATTTGTGGTAGAAGTAGTACTAGGGGAGGTAGTAGTAGCAGTCGTAGGGGTAGTAGAAGTAGAAGTAGTAGTAATAGTAGTAATGGTAATCGTCGTCGTAGCAGTAGTCGTAGTAGTAGTAGTAGTAGTAGTAGTAGTAGTAGTAGTAGTAGTAATTGTAGTAGTAGTAGTAGCAGTAGCAGTAGTAGTAGTAGTAGTAGTAGTAGTAGTAGTAGTAGTAGTAGTAGTAGTAGTAGTAGTAGTAGTAGTCAGAGTGCTAATCGTAGTAGCAGGTCGTCGTAGTAGTCGTACTCGTAGTCCTGCTCGTAATTGTTGTAGTGGTAGCCGTAGCAGTAGTAGTAACCATAGTCGTGGTAGAGTTATTGGTGAAAGTCGTAGTAGTAGTGGTAGTAGTAGTAGTAGTAGTAGTAGTAGTAGCAGTGTAAAACCGCATGGGTAGTCGTAATCGTAAGCGGAAAACCACTGATAGTTGCAGTATCCGTGGGCCTAGTCGTAGTAGTAGTAGTAGTAGAAGAAGAAGAAGGTGCAGTAGTAGTAGTAGTAGTAGTAGTGGTAGTAGTAGTAGTAGTAATAGTAGAAGTGGCAGTAGAAGTAGCAGTAGCAGTAGCAGCTGTAGCAGTGATCGCAAACCTCGTCGCAGTCGTAGTGGTAGTGCAATCGAAGTAGTAGTATAAGGGGAAGTCGTAGTAGTAAAGATGATAGTCGTAGTAATAATCGTAGTCCTAGTTTTGATAGTTGCAGTCGTAGTCGAGGTCGTAGCCGTAGTAGTACTAGTAGTAGTGGGAAACTCATAGTAGTAGTAGTAGTAGTAGCAGTAGTAGTAGTAGTAGTAGCAGTAGTCGTAGTAGTAGTAGTAGTAGTAGTAGTAGTCGTCGCAGTAGTCGCAGTAGTAGTAGTGGTAGTAGTAGTAGTAGCAGTAGTAGTACTAGTAGTAGTAGTAGTAGTAGTAGTAGTAGTAGTAGTAGTAGTAGTAGTAGTAGTAGTAGTAGTAGTAGTAGTAGTAGTAGTAGTAGTAGAACTAGTCCTAGTAGTAATGATAGTAATAGTAGTAGTAGTAGTAGTAATAGAAGTCGCAGTCCTAGTAGCAGTAGTAGTAGTAGTAGTCGCAAGAATCGCAGCAGTAGTTAAAGTAGTAGTAGTAGTAACAGTAGTAGTAGTAGTAGTAGTAGTGGTGGTGGTAGTAGTAGTGGTGGTAGTGGTGGTAGTAGTAGTAGTGGTGGTAGTAGTAGTAGTACTAGTGGTCATAGTAATAGTAGTAGTAGTAGTAGTAGTAGTAGTAGTAGTAGTAGTAGTAGTGGTAGTAGTAGTAGTAGTAGTAGTAGTAGAAATAGTAGTAGTAGTAATAACACTAATAGTAGTGCTAGTAGTAGTAGTAGTCGTAGTGCTAGTGGTAGTAGAAGTAGTAGTAGCAGTTAGCAGTTAGCATTTAGTAGTTGTAGTAGTAATAATAGTTGTAGTAGTAGTAGTAGTAGTAGTAGTAGTAGCAGTAGCAGTAGTAGAAGTAGTAGTAAACGTAGTCGTAATATTTTTGTTGTGAGTATTATTATTATTAGTAGTAGTGTAGTAGTAGTAGTAGTAGTAGTAGTAGTAGTAGTAGTAGTAGTAGTAGTAGTAGTAGTAGTAGTAGTAGTAGTAGTAGTAGTAGTAGTAGTAGTAGTAGTAGTAGTAGTAGTAGTAGTAGTAGTAGTAGTAGTAGTCGTAGTAGTAGTAGTAGTAGTAGTAGTAGTAGTAGTAGTAGTAGTAGTAGTAGTAGTAGTAGTAGTAGTAGTAGTAGTAGTAGTAGTAGTAGTAGTAGTAGTAGTAGTAGTAGTAGTAGTAGTAGTAGTAGTAGTAGTAGTAGTAGTAGTAGTAGTAGTAGTAGTAGTTGTAGTGGTAGAAATATAAATCGACGTCGTCGTCATAGTAGTGGTGGTACTAGTGGTGGTGGTAGTAGTAGTAGTTGTAGTAGTAGGAGGAGGAGGCGGAACGGGAGGAGGATGCGTATGTTTAGGGGGACGACGAGGGGGTCGGGGAGCAGGAGGGCGGGAAAGGGAAGAGGACAGTGTAGGACGAGGGGGAGGCAAATGCAGATTGAATAGAGGAGGGGGGACACCGGGGGGAGACAGACCCCAACTCAGCCGTACAACACGTAGGGGGGGATGAGGAGGAAGAAGTTGAGGTGGAGGAGGAGGAGGAGGACGACGACGACGACGACGAAGAGGAACAGGCGCAAGAGAGACGGGAGATGAGAATCCCATCGCCCTTTTGGGCAAAAGTGATTTAGGGGCAACGCTATCCCACCCCAAATTTCCCTGTGGAGGGGGGAAGGTTTAGCGCTCCCCCTCCCCCTCTCCACTGGGTCTCGCTGGAATGTGGCCTGAGGGGGTAGAGCGTCCAAGATGGCCCAAACTTGCCCCAAGAGGGCTCCTGATTGCCCAAGATGGCTTCCAAGATGGCACAATACCAAGCTGGCTCAATATTCTGGATGTCAACGTGCCTCAAAGTAGGTAGGGAACCTGTCCAAGATACCATCAATAATCTCAAACCAATGAAAAACCTAAGTTGCATCAGTGATGCAATAGCTACCGTTGTTTCGCCCCCGTGGGTTTCTGAGGCCTCAAATTGGCTCCAAGATCGCCAGAGAAAACTCCAAGAGATGCACGGGATGGCTCCAAGACGGCCACCAGAGCGCCTAAGAGTGCCATAAGATGGCTCCAGGGGGCAATGTGTATAGCTCCTGCGGACGGCTGGGGAATCCCTCGGGGGCTTGCGGGCCAATATGGCTCAAAGCCCCAACACGGCCTCCGAAGGCGTCGGACGGCCAGGAGCGCCATAGAACAGCCCAAGAAGCTCCCAAGAAGCCCCAAGAGGAAACAACGAAATTCCCAAGAGGCCCCAAGATGCCCCTCCCAAGAGGCCCCAAAAGGGCTCCCAGGAGCCCCCCGAGACCACAAGAACATTACATTGGCGGGCCAGTTTCCCGAAGGGGGTTCTGTCGTGGCTCCTGCTTTGCGAGCTCGATATAGGAAGGTAGTGATTGAGGTGTGGATGCGCGCTCGAACCAAACGTAACCCAGCAAGGGCGTGTTGAATCGCCACTGGAACAGCATCACGAACAACACCCAGATTTTGGATCGACACATTATGACAACGTTTAACCGCAAAGTATCTGACATCGACCTACACTGTAAAAAATATAACAGCGAAGCTGCGCCATAGCGAGAGACAGAGGATAGCATGACGGCTGCCTCGCTGCAAAGACGACGGGCCCATGCGTCCTCTAGACCACTGCAAGCCGTGAAACGACGTGGAGGCGGGACAGAGAAACACTGTGACCATGGAGCCAAAACAACGACCTGCATGTGAGCTTTTTTTTATTCGGCGTTTCGACATTGGGGGCAAAGGGGGGGGAGGGGGGGGAGTCTGGCTCGGGACCTCTGCTTCGGGCGACTGTTTGCAACAGTGTGTCCTATGGGGGAGGGGCTCCACATGCTCGAAACAGGCGCCCAAAAAAAGCCGAGATCTACTCGAGGGGGGGGTGGGCAGCGGGGGGAGGGGGGGCCCGCGCCGATCGGCGAAACAGTGAATAAGAAACGATCACCATGGAGACGGAAACTGCTCGACGGCTTCAGCACGCCACTGCACCGAAGCAGTCGGGCTGGGCTTCCCACCCCCGGCTGACGAAGCCCAAGACAGCACGCACCACGGCCGCCACAGAGAGTCCAGGGGGCGCAGAACCACGGGCATCGATGCCTGCTCCACGTGGGACGCAGAGAAACATACTAATACTATATGTCCTCCTTGGAGGTGCGCGTCCGACACGAGCATAGAGCATACCAATCTTGTACGTAGTATTAAACCGCTTCCCGAGCGGTGCGGCCAGAAAGCGCCCGCCACGATGCATATACCAGAAGATTTCTCGGTGCGCGCGTCGCCCATGGGGGGGCGACGCACACATAGTATAAGTATGCTGGGGTGACGCCGACCGCGCCCTGCCCGCGAGGCTCGCCGCCGCACTTTTGCGTCGCAGCGGGGCCGGAGGCAGGCCCGCACGCGCGCGCTTAGGCGGCCCAGGAAACGGACACGCAAGTGATCTGGTGGCAGGAGGGGGGGGGGGAGAAACGCGAAAGCGGCCGCGGGGGGGAAGGAGGGGCGGGAGGGCACGCTCGCGCCACGCACGCTGCCGCCAAGCGCAAAACGCTGGGCCACAGGACCGCGACGTCGGCCACCCCTTCCCGCCCCCTGCTTCACAGGCCCACCAACGCGCACGCTGCGTGGGTCAGGTCGCACAAGGCTGCCTCCCTTCCTTTCTCCCCGTGGCCTCGTTCCGGTACGCCCACTCCGTCACGAAGAACTCGCAGCCTCGGCCAGGGAGCAGCAGCCACTGTCATCACTGGGCAGTGGGCAAACTTTGCCCGCCGCCGTCTGGGTATGAGGCAAACCATCATCGGCCCTCCACCTCCTCCGCAACATTCCTTCTCACCTCCTCCCCCGCTGCCGCTGCTCTTTCTCGTCCACCCCTTTTCCTTATAATCGATTATCCCCTGTCACATGCGCAACAACTCAAAAGATGGAAGGCGGGTCTTTTCGAAACGTGGCTCTCGCCTCAGCACCGCGCACGTTCGTTTCAAAAGTTTGCAGCAGCTTCGGTACCCTTTGCCCCCCTGTCGAGGAGGAGGAGGAGGAGGAGGAGGAGGAAGAGGAGCAGGGGGGGCGTTCGCCTCAGAGCCGCGCACATTACATTCGTCCCCAAACGCAGCAACACCTCGAAGGATGGAGGGCGGGCCGTTTGCAACATGTGAATCTCGTCGCAGCACCGAGCACATTCGTTGTGAAAGCTCGCAGCAGCTCCAAGGCTGGAGGGCAGTTCCTTTTCTTGAATGCGGATCCCGCCTCAGCGCCGCGCACACCCGCTTCGCAGAGTGCAGCAGCTCCAAGGCAGGAGGGGGGCCATTCTTGGAAGGGGGCCCTCGCTTCGGCGTCGCGCGCACCCGCCTCACAAGTGTGCGACAGGTTCAGGGATGAGGGATGGCAGGGGGGGGGGGGTCGTTCTCAAAGTGGGGCTCGCGCCCTGGCGCCGCGCACACTCGTCGTGGCACGTCTGCAGCAGCTCCAAGCATGGAGCACGGGTCGTCCTCGGAGTGGGGCTCCGGCCTCAGCGCCGCGCACGTTGTCATCACCATGTTACAGCACTGGGAATGGTGGAGGAGGAGGAGGAGGAGGAGGAGGAGGAGGAGGAGGAGGAGGAGAGGAGGAGGAGGAGGAGGCGGAGGAGGAGGAGGAGGAGGAGGAGGAGGAGGGGTCAATTCTTCTTCGAGCTGCGGGTCTTGCTTGGCCTCCTTTGTTGTCGACGGTGGCCGGAGCTCCCACACGTGCAGAGAACGGCACGGGCCGAGGGCCGCTCCTTTCCCAAGACGGAGCTGCCGCTCGAGGCCCCCTGGACGTCCACGACCACGGGCGTGGGCACGTGCGGCAGCTGTGCGGATGGGGGCGGCCCATTGATCGAACGGGGGATCTCGCTGGACACCCCGCTGAACTGCAGGGCCGCAGTCTGCAGGATTCCGGACTGCCGAGATGGAGCTGCCGCTGGAGATCCCCTCGACGTCCACAACCACCATGTGTGGGCATGTGCGGCAGCTGTACGGATGGGGGCGGCTCATTTGTCGAACGGGGGAGCTCGCCGGACACCTCGTCGAATTGTAGGACCACAGCTTGCAAGATTCCTGACTACGCGCCAGAAGGATGCAAGGGAGTTCCTTTTCAACAACGTGGCCCTCGCCAACGTGGCAGGCCCTTATTGTGCTGGTCTTTCAGGGGGGGCGCTTCTTATATGTAACAAGGAAAGCTTGCAGGGACGTATGAAGACGGTACTTGGGACGGGAGGGTATATTGCAGCATCGCTAGTGCATCTTGCGCTTACTGGTCCTCCTCCTCCTAACCCCTCTCACCCCCCCTCCCTTTGCTCCATTCTTCTCCTGCTGCTGGTGCTGCTGATCCCCTCCCCTCCTCCCACAATCCATCCTACCGTTGCTCCTGAGCTCCTGCTACCCCTCCTGCCTCCCCTCTCCTCTTCGGCTCCCTCCCTGTCGTGTTCCCCCCCCCTCTCTCTCTCGTACCTCCTCCTCCTCCTCCTCCTCCTCCTCCTCCTCCTCCTCCTCGTCCTCCTCCTCCTCCTCGTCTTCCTCTGCCCGCCTTGCCCCCAGCTGCATCCCGCTCGGTTCCTTTCGCTCCTCACCCACCTCCCCACCCCCTCAAAACCCCCTCCTCCGTGGCACGCGGCGCGTGGCGCCAGCCAAGTTGAAGTAAACCCCGGAATGCCGATCCCAAGGGCGGCTGCGGACCTGATGGCGAGCAACCGCAGTCGGTCCATAAGCGGGGTCGGGCTTCCCCCACCGGGGTGTGCCTGGGGGCCCGCCGACTCGCAGGGCAAATCGCCACCGAATGGGTGACATCGGGGCCCGCTCCGCACCATGAATTGTGAGTTCTGGGCAGACCTCAGGACGTCGGGACGCACGCGACGACAGGACAGATCGAAAAGCGAGGGGGATTGGAGAGGCCTAGGCTTGGCCAGCGGAAACATCATGGCAGAACATGAGCGCAAGATACGACAAAACCGATCGCGAAGCGAGTGAAGAAGAGGCCCTTACCAACCCCAAGATGCCCAAACGAGGGTCTGGGAGGTCCCTGGCAGACCCCTCAAAAAGTCTGAAAATTGTACCGCCCCATCGGTGTACCAAGGGTGCCTGGTACACCGAGGGGGGCGGGGGGCGATGTACAATTTTGTCAGTCAGAGCCCTCTGCCCCAAAGTCCCTCTAGAAGGGTCGTGGGTACCTTCTGGCTTTCAGCTTGCGGGGGGCAGCTTCAACTTGTACTGAAAGTTACGCTCGAACCGCCTGCTCCGCCTTGCGGAGCACTTTGGGACACGGGCGGGCTGCGAGCGAGTCGCCCGAGGTACCACCTCGTATTCTTGGTTTGGGGGCTAAGATGTACAAGCTACGTCCCGAATTGGGGAATTAGATGGGCCGCTCAGAAAGACCTTGGGGCAATGACTGTGGCTTAGGCGCCCTACGGGCCCGCCCACCGCGCATCCGACTGGCCGCGGCCGCGCCAAGTGCGATCGGGCGGGTGGCTGTGGGGGGAGATTGGGCGCCCCACTTCTCTAGAACAACTCCAGTCTGGGACAAGTTTGGTTTAGGCCCCCGACGCACGAACACAAGTGTTACCCCTGACCACCACGCTGGTCAGCGACATCTCCAGCTTGGGCCCCCCGAGACACGAATCAGCGACCGTGGCTGGGCCATCGGAGCGAGATGGCATGAGGCCATCTGGACTGCAATGGCTGGCCCAATGGTGCCCAGGGTCATCTTTGCCCACCTCTTGCGGCTGGGCCAGCAACGCAAGATGGCATAAGGCCCACTGGGGACGGCCGGGGCGGCTGGGGCAACGGCGCACGATGGCCTTCGGCCATCTAACAGGATGGCCTGAAGCCTTCTTGGTGCTGACCGTAGTTCTGGCCTGCAGGGCAAGATGGCCTGATGCCATCTTGACCCAGCCCATGCGGCGGGACCAACGGAGCAACACATGGCGTCACATCGGTGTGCTCAAGACCTCATGGGCTGGGCCTACAGAACAAGATGCACCCTGGTCATCTTGGCCTAGCCACTGCGGCTGGGCCAACGGAGCAAACCTGCTTGGGGCCGCGAGAGATCCAGGTGACGATTCAAGCTTCAACGTGCAAGTTGGCCCTGGGGGGCTCCCAAGGGCTCTCCCAGGACCCTCCAGGAGGCAGGCTCGTCGAGGTCCCTGCCTACGCCCCCGGAGGGCCCTCCCAAACACTCCGAGATGGCTCCAGGAAGGCCTCAGCTTGAGCTGTCCGAAGGCCAGCTTTCTTGGGAGTCACGCAGGCGTTTTTAGAGAGAGCCTCGAGACAAGCGGCACAATGCAGCTGGACCTGGGGCGCCCCCTTAAAGGGCACGCCCCGTCTCTCCGGGGGTTTAGGAGGAGGAAGATTGGCGGTTCAAAGATGGGGTCTCCAGGGAGGGGGGCCTTCAGGATAGAGACATGATCTCGATATGGTTTTTCACTGCTTGAGGCCACTGGCTCCTACGGCTGCATCCCTCAGGGCCCATTTGTGAACCGCCGAGAGGAGGACCAATGTTGGGACCAATGTTGCGTCTGGGGCAACGTGCGCCATCCACCCAGACGAGGTCACATCGGGTATACAGGGGACCAGTCGCCAATCGACTGGCTGCCCTGCCGACGGTCTCCTGCAGCCATGGCTCACCCGACCAATCGGGGGCTGCGCTGGCATGGTTCAACTGCTTACGGTTTGAGCCGTACGCTCGAGGAGCAACAGGGCCAGCTTAGGGTAACAGCCAATGGGGGACGAGAACGATGAGGAGGTGGAGGAGGAGGGAGGAGAAGGAAGGAAAGAGGAGGAGGAGGAGGAGGAGGAGGATGAGGAGGAGGAGGAGGAGGAGGAGGAGGAGGAGGAGGAGGAGGGAGGAGGGAGGAGGGAGGAGGAGGAGGGAGGAGGCAGGGAGGAGGGAGGAGGGGAGGGAGGAGGGAGGAGGGAGGAGGTGAGGAGGAGGAGGAGGAGGGAGGAGAGGAGGAGTAGGAGAGGAGGAGAAGAGAGGAGGAGGAGGAGGAGGAGGAGGAGGAGGAGGGAGGAGGAGGAGGAGGAGGATGGAGGAGGAGCAGGGAGGAGGGAGAGAGGAGGAGGAGAGGAGGAGGAGGATAGGAGGAGGAAGGAGGAGGAGAGGAGGAGGAGAGGAGGAGGAGAAGGAGGAGGAGGGAGGAGGAGGAGGAGGAGGAGGAGGAGGAGGGAGGAGGGAGAGAGGGAGGAGGAGAGGAGGAGGAGGGAGGAGGTAGGAGGAGGAGGAGGAGGAGGAGGAGTAGGAGGAGAAGGAGGTATGAGGAGGAGGAGGAGGAGGAGGAGGCGAGGAGAAGGAGGAGGAGGAAGGAGGAGGAGGAGGAGGAGGAGGAGGAGGAGGAGGAGGAGGAAGGAGGAGGAGGGAGGAGGGAGGAGGAGGGAGGAGAGGAGGGAGGAGGGAGGAGGAGGGAGGAGGGAGGAGGAGGAGGAGGAGGAGGAGGAGGAGGAGGAGGAGGAGGAGGGAGGAGGGAGGAGGGAGGAGGAGGAGGGAGGAGGAGGGGAGGAGGAGGGGGGAGGAGGAGGGAGGAGGAGGAGGAGGAGAGAGGAGGAGGAGGTAGGAGGAGGAGGAGGAGGAGGAGGAGGAGGGAGAGGAGGAGGAGGAGGAGGAGGAGGGAGGAAGAGGGAGGGAGGAGGAGGAGGAAGGAGGAGGGAGGGAGGAGGGAGGAGGCTCAGAGGAAAGACTTCGGGCGGGCACAGCTGGCGCCGTCTCCCAGACAGGCCTCTCAGAGCCCGCGGGCCTGCCTCGGGAAGGCCACCCCGGCGGCTTCGGGGAGCCCCTCGAGCCCTCACGCCCTGCGCCTCGCCTCGACCCTTGCAGGGGCCGATGCCGTCTGAGGGGCAGGGGCAAAACAGGATAGACAGCCAACCTGTGTAAGAAGGACGCACGACAAGGATGCAAGGGCCCGGGAAAGCCATGCCGACCCTTTGCGAGCGGGGCGCGGCCAGCGAAAGTGGCCAAGGATAGGCCGAAGGGGAAGGATGCAAAGAAGGGTAACCTTGGAAAGTCGCTCATCCTTCCTATGGTGGTGACCGTGCACTTTGAGATAGCAGGTCGCTCCGCCGATCTGGCCCACCACGCTTCGGCGCGACACGCTATCCACTTCGCGGTCCCTAAGCGTCAACGTCTCGAACTTTCCCGAGCCTCTCGCCCCGCGGAGCGACACGCATCCGATTGCAAGGCATAGCGTGTCGCCGGGGCGCCCCACACGCTCAGCAAAGGTTCCCGACCATAGCTGGGAAGCGGAGGTGCGGCCTCGGATCTCTGCGGGTGGTAAGGCGGGGTGACCCGAATGCGGGGTGGAGAAAAAGGCCATAAAGGGCAACCTTTCGGGCCCCCTTTGGAGCCAGCTGGTGTCCCAAAGGGGCCCTGACGGACCCCTTTGGGGGGCTTCCCCTTCACCCCCTATCTGGGTCACCCCCCATTCACCACCCGCCCGAGGATCTGGAAGGGCGCTGCACCGGTGCGCCAGCGCGGCTGCCTCCCGGGGGGGACTGGCCCCCGCCCTCCCGGACAGGGCCCCTGGCCCCAAGGGCCCCATCCCCTCAAGCCCCCGGGTGCCTCCTGCCAACGGGCGCTTCACCCTCTCGGCCAGCGAGCAGGCGCCGCACGCGAACAGGGGGGGGCAAGGGGGGAGAGGAGAGGCACGCGGCCTTGGGGGGGGGGGCAGGGAGGGAGAGAGGGGGGATGAGAACCGGCACGGGGGGCAGGAGAGAGGTGCGGAAGGGGGAGGCCAGGAAGGAGAGGGAGAGAGGGGAGGGGGCAGGAGGGAGAGGGGGCGCACCAGAAGCGCAGGCCCCTTCCCTTCCTGCCCCACCCCCCTCCCTCATGGGCTCACTGCGTCCAGGCTCGAATCTGAGCACGCCGGGCGCTGCGACGGGGCTGGCCCGGGCCCGCAGTCCCTATTGCACCCCTTCCGGGGCCCTGGACGTCGGGCGCCTGGGGTGGTCGGACGCCTGGGGTGGCTCCAGTACGTGGGCGTCGGGCCTCAGCTCTGTTGCTACACACGTTGGAGGTGGCCGGCGCTTCCAGGGAAGGACGTGCCGATTTGGGCATGCCCCGGGGTGGTCCCCGAACCCTCGCGAATTCCCCGCGCGCACCTCCGCCCAACAAATAAAACCCAGTCCTCGGCACTTTGGACGCCAGGAGTGGGAACGAACAAATTGTGTACGATGCCCAACAGCAAGCGTTGTCCAAAAGCGACAGCGGCCGTTGTTGGGCAGGCGGCCTTCTGCTTCAAATAGACAACGCCTGCAGCGGCACGGACAGCGAACCCTGTTGACGATGGGCAGGAACTGCTGTCTGCTGTCGGTCTTCGTACCCATTCTTTCCGTACCCATTCCGTTTGTGCCGATCGACCGCATACTGCCACCGTCACCGAGATCGGGATCATCCTCCCTCGGTCGAGGTACAACGCCGATACTTTATCGGGTATCGGTGTTGGTGTCAGCCTCTAGGCCTCCGAGATACTTGAGCATCGATCGCGCCGCATCGCCGATGCATCGGCGACGTCGGCGCTGCATCTGCGATGCCGACGCGGATCAGATCGGGCTCCACATCGAGCCGCATCGCCGATGCATCGGCGATGCATCGGCGATGCGGCGCGATCCGCCGAGTCCTAGAGTCCTTCCTTACCCATGTCGCTCGTGCCGATCGAGCGCCGCCCCAGACCCACCCGCCCCAAGATGCCGCCGCCGCAGACCCACCGCTCGGTCGAGGCACGCCGCCGATGCCGGTGCTGGTGTCCACCTCTGGGCCTCCGAGATCCTCCGCTGCCTCGGACGAGGCACGCCGCCGATGTCGATGTTGGGGCCCACCTCCGTAGGCCTCGACCGCCGCGACGAGCCCTCCCCTCCGAGGCGGCGGCCGAGGGGGCCCAGGCGCGGCTTCAGCTTCGCCATCTCCGCGGCGGGGCCCATCGCCTGTCCGAAGGGGCGGCACCCTGCCCCGTTCCAAGCAAGAGGGGCGCGGTCTCAGGGCAGGGGAGGGGGGCAACAGGAGGAGGACGAGGAGGAGGAGGAGGAGGAGGAGGAGGAGGAGGAGGAGGAGGAGGAGGAGCAGGAGCAGGAGCAGGAAGCATGAGGAGAAGGAGGGAAGGAAGGGAGGGAGGGAGGAAGGGAAGGGGAGGACAGGGAGGAGGAGGCGCCAGAGGCTCCCGACAACGGTGAGGGGCTCCAAGAACGAGGCTCCAAGCCGAAGGAAAAGGACCCAAGCATCTGGCCGCTCCCATGTTTTTCGATGCGAGGGCCCCCTCGGACTGGACCACTTCCTATAGGGCCGGTTTTTCGACCGGCGTCGTTTCTCTTGGGGCGTCGGACCTCTGGAGGAGGAGGAGGAGGAGGAGGAGGAGGAGGAGGAGGAGGAGGAGGAGGAGGAGGAGGAGGAGGAGGAGGAGGAGGAGGAGGGAGCGGAAGAGGAGGAATAGGAGGAGAAGGACCAGGATCAAGATCGAAGCTCGATGGTCGAGGTGTTTGGAACGTCCGGGCCCCTCTGCCGTGTGCCTCAGGGGGGTCCTTCAGGGCGGTTGCCGCCTCCGACTCCGTCGGGAGGAGGGCGGCGGAGGAACTGCAGCGAGTGATGGGGGCAAGCAGGGAGACAGGGAGGGAGAAGAGTGAGAGGAGGGAGAAGAGGGAGGGAGGGAGGGAGAGGAGGGAGAGGAGGAGGGAGGCAGGGAGGGAGAGGAGGGAGAGGAGGAGAGGAGACAGGGAGGGAGAGGAGGGAGAGGAGGGAGGGAGGGAGGCAGGGAGGGAGAGGAAGGAGAGAAGGGAAGGGGAGGAGGGAGAGGGGGAGGCGAGCGGGAGGTAAGGGAGCGACGGAGGGAAGGGAGAGGAGGGAGAAAGTAGGGGGACAGGAGGGAGAGGACTAAAGGGGCCCAGGGACACATAAACAAATAGACACACATCCAAGGATTCCCCCCATTTCTCCTCTTCTTCCTGGGTGTTCGGCTTCCCCCCACTTCCCATGTTTCCCCATACCTCCTCGGAGTCAACGATTGCTTGCGTCTGTAGGGTCTTGTCCCTCCTGAGAGAGGGAGGGTGGGGAGCGAGGGGGGGCAGCGCAGCGGCAACGAGGCGAACCCTCGGGAGGCACGCGACAGCGGGACCCACGACAGCGGGAGACCAACGACAGTGCACGAGGCGGCGGCAGTGGACGCCGGGGGGGCCAGAGGGCGCAGGCAGGGGCGGCGAAGGCAGAAGCGGGGGGAAGAGGCGCGGCAGGACACCGCCGGGGTGGGGGGGGGAGGGGGCGCGAAATATCGGGGGTGTGGGGGGGGGGGCGGCGACAAATACAGGGGGCGCGAATTCATGGGCAGGCGGACTTCCCGCCTGCCCACGGGCCGCTCTGCTGTGCGACAAATAAGGGGGGAAGAAACGTGCACATCTCGGGCCCCAGAGGCAAGGGCCCCCCCCTGGGGCCTGAAAGGGCCCCCTTTGCCCGAGAGGACCCCCTCTCGGGGCCCCAGAGAGGACCTTTTCTCGGCAAGCCTCGCTACCCCCCTCCATATATCCCCCCCCCCCCATATATCGCCCTCCCCCCCACTCGTTTATCGCAGCGAGCCCCCCCCTTCCGTTGATCGCCCCCCCCACCCGCCCGTTGATCGCCGCCCAAGAGGGGCGCGGCAGGACGCCGGCCCGCTGGCCAGGGGTGTGTGCGCTCGCTGACCGTGCAGCCCAGGCCTCGAGGCGCCACGCGCGAAGCGCGGCCGCGTCTGCAGCCCCCGCGGGGTGTCCCAGAGGGCTGCAGCGCGCCTCCTCGAAGCCGGCGGCTCGCAGGATCGCTCGGTGGGCCTCCGCGCCCCGAGCGCCGAGCCTCCGACTTCTCGGGCCTCGATCGCTGGATCCGCGGCGACCTCGATCGACGAGCCGAGCCTGGATCGACTGCTGAGGGCGCGGCGATGAAAAAACGATCGACCGAATTGATCGAAGAAACTCAACGGAACATGTCGATCGGCACGCCTCCGACAATCGGCCCCGGATGCCGGCAACGGACAACGCCATGTCAGAGCATCGACAATCCATACAACGAAACAAACGTCGGCGGCGAGCGAGGGGGAAATGAATAGGAGAAGGCCAAGGCCCCTAGCTTCCTGAGACATTTTGTTGTGTTTTCCCGGAAGGCTTAGAATCCTCTCCAGAAGCCTGGGGGACTTCCGAGGCGGCTATCCTCGACGCGAAGGCCCCGATCGGTCGACCGATTACCTCGAATGGTCGATCGATCGAGCCTCGATCGATCAACCCAAACACCTCGAGCCTCGAAGTATATATGTATATATGTATATATATACACACCTATACGACCACCCTGCGGGTGATAAGGAGGTTGGGGGGCGAAGCGCGCTCGACATTGTCGTGAAGCGCCGTCCCCGCGTGCGCTTATCAGTCGCGCGAACCTCACCTCAGCGCTAGTCGACGTGGTCGAACGTGCGCGCAGCGGTGCTACAGAGGATTTCGGGACACCAGCGGGGCGCCGGCGGGACACAGCGGGCCACCGGCCGCCGGAGGAAAGACATTTGGTCCGGCCGCGGCCCAGCCACTGGAGGATTTCGGGGCACCAGCGGGGCGCAGGCGGGACGACGCGGGCCACCGGCCGCCAGAGGAAAAACATTTGGTCCGGCCGCGGCCCAGCCACAGGAGGATTTCGTCTCGCCCGCCCACGGCGCTTCGCCCCGCCCGCACGCGGGCGCGGCACGCGCGACACGAACCCGAAACCGAAATCGATTTCCCGGCAGAGGCCGTTTCACGTCGGACTCATTCCCCCAACCTCCGATATATATATATTATATATATATATATATATATATATATATATATACACATACACACACACACGCATCTGTATTCATATATACATATATACAACCTGCCTCCTCGCCCGATTTCTTTCTACGTCTCACCCCTTGCCAAAGTCTTGCGCGCAAGGGGGGGCTGCCGGCGCCGGGCCCCCCGACCCCGTGGGGCCCCGCGCCAAGTAGGGGCGGCAACGCGAACGCGAGTCCGAACCCCCGGAGTGGACCCCAGGAGCGGCAGCGCGAACGCGAGATCGAACCCTTTAGGAGAGGGCGGCAGCGCGAACATGAGTCCGAATCCTCTAAAGCTCTAAAGGGAGCGGCAGCGCGATCACGAATCCGAGCCCTCCCCAAGGGAGCCCCCCCCTTCTGAGTTTGGCAAGAGAAGGGCGGGGGGGGCCAGAGAGGCCGCGGGGGGGGCGGCAACGGGGTGGACGTGCCAAGGGATGCGCCAGGGGAGATAACTCGCATGAGAAACTCAATGATATTTATATCCAACCTGTCTCCTCGTCCCATTCCAGTTTTTTTACGTCTCATCCCTTGCCGGAATCACGCGTGCGAGGGGGCCAGCGCGAGACCCCCCGACCCCGAGGGGCCCCGCGCCAAGTGGGGGCGGCAGCGCGAACGCGAGTCCGACCCCCCGGAGTGGACCCCAGAAGCGGCCGCGCGAACACGAGACGGAAACCCTGAGGAGAGAACGGCAGCGCGAACGCGAGTCCAAACCCTCGAAAAGGGAGCGGCAGCGCGATCACGAGTCCGAGCTCTCCCCAAGGGAGCCCCCCCCCCCTCCACGCGCCCCACTCTGGTTTACCGTCTCCAACCCTAGGGAGGGGGGGGTCGGGAAAATGCTGACAGCGAGCCTGTGAATTATGGCAGTGCTACCTTCTTTACTCTCACTCTCTCTCTCTCTCTCCTCTCTTTTTTTTTCTCTCTCTCTCTCTCTCTCTCTCTCTCTCTCTCTCTCTCTCTCTCCCTATTTTTTATCTCTCTCTCTCTCTCTCTCTCCTCTCTCTCTCTCTCTTTTTCTCTCTCTTCCTCTCTCTTCAAAACGCATCATGATCGAGGGCCGCCGCCGGGCCAGCTCCACCGCTCCGAATGAGTTCTGCTGCGCGCTCTGCAGCCCGTCCGAGATGTAGAGCCCCGCATCCTCGGTATCCTTCCACGCGCCCATGATGAGCGCGTGGCGCATGTTCTTGCAGTGCCGGTAGTGCCGCGTCGCACCGCCGCGCTGCAGCGAGCGCGGCGCGCCCTGGTGGCGCTCGAGCTCGAGGCTGGAGGCGAGCTTCTGGAGACACTCCTAACGTCCTCCACCGAGGGTCTCAGGGCCGCGCGCCGCGCGGCAACCTGTCGAGGAAGTGCCGCGCGAACCTGACCGCGCGCGGGTCGTGGAGCGCCGCCGGTTCCCACAGTGACGACTAACGCCCGACCTCGTCACTGGCATCGCAATCACCATACTGAGCCCATCATAGGCGAACTGAAGCCGCCATCGGCGCATGCATGGCAGCTGCATCGCGTGAGGGAGAGCCGCGCACCCCACAACCAAGAGCCGTGCCGCAACATTGCCAGACCACGAGCGCGCCACACTTGTCAAAGCCAACAGCACATATTCTGGCATCGGCGCGGCACGTTGGGAAATCTTCGCCCTCTGCCAGGCTTTGGGACGAATCCGCGAACTACGCAGAATGCGTTCGCGCCGCAAGACGAACTGCACACCTGAAGTGGTAGAACCTGCATCGCCCGCTGGCCTGCCAGCGGCCCGCAGCGCCTCAATCCATTCACAAAGTGGAAGGTCACGTTGTTCTACGTCAGATTCCACTGGCGCAATATGACACTCCACCCCAGACGTACAAGCTGGAACCATCCAGTAATATCGTCGCAAGGTACGAGGCTGCGCCAAGGTGCGTGAAACAACTTCCCAATCGCTCTGCGCGCCCGAACACGGGCCACCAAATCCTGCGCATGGGCAATGCGCCCCCGACGCGGCATGATCGGCCAAGGTGATGCCGCCTCCCGTGGAGGAGTCGTCGGCAGGTTTCTCGTTGGTCTCGGAGTATCCGTAGATTGGTCGCGCTGAAGCGGCCAGAAACCAAGGCCGATGTCCACTGTCAGCAGCATTGCGCACATGGGAATAATAGC